AGTGATTTTCCTATATCCTAAGTGAAAATAATTTTTAATATCCAGCTGTACCAGAATGGGAAAACTTGAACAATAAATTGTGCTGCTGTGTTGTTTATGATGAATCATAGGTAACTTGGAAAATGGGAAGCCCTTGCAGCAGCATTTGAAGGAGATTATTCATTTCAAAAAGATACGAACTTTTACATGTTTCTGTTATGTCCCTATCCAGCTATGATTTCATGGGTAGTGTTCCCTGGTCATAGCTGTATACCTGATTACGTGTACTAAAGTGTAATTTTAATGTCTTTTCTAAATCATTTGTACACATGAGATCATTCCATGGATGGCTGCCTTATTTTTAATTTTTTCACTTTAATTGTGAACTGTTTAAATATGTTTTTATTACATTAAAAATTATTTGCTGCATTGTTGAAATAATTTGTCTCATTTTTAATGGTGACAAAGAAGCAAGAATTTGTAGAGTCTTCAAGGGGAAATGGTTTATAGTTTGCTTTATCTCATTTTTATCTCATTTATTCACTTCTAGAAACAGATAAAGCAATTTTAGAAGAACCCAGTGAAAAGCATAATAAATCAGCATACTTTGTCTCCCATTCAAATGTAACATACCAAAGTATTAAATGTTCTTACCTAAACATGTTTTTTTTGTTATTTTTAAAAACCTGTTGGTGATTTACACACCCTTGAAGACCATTGGAAACTTCAATTGGACCATAATGCACCAGCCCAGTTAATTATGGATATTTATTATGCTGGCATGATAACTCCCTTCTGTAAGCTACAGATTAGGTGCAATTCAAAATGCTGATGATATCCTACCTGACATAGGACTGGGTTGCCTGTTGGACCATCCCATACATTCTGAAGGAGAAGGCAACCTCTGGGTCCTTTCATTGAAATCGTGATGTTATGAGCCCAGGAGATGTGGCTTTTCAGTGATGTCCCCTGCCCTTTGGAATGATCTTTTCTTAGACATAAGATTGGCCCCAACTTTACATGCCTTTAGGCGGGAAGAGCAGTTAAGACCTGGTTTTTTCTCCCAGCTCTGGGATCAGGTTGAATTGAATCCATGATGGTAAGAGAAGGTTTTCAGTTTTCTTTGACCTGTCATTGTTTAATTCATTGTATTAATTATGGGATTTTTGTCCACCACCCAGAGTCACCTGGTTTGATTTCGGCAGTCGTGTAAATGCATAAATGACCACAAATGTACCACACTCTGTTAGCTCCAGACATTTCTAAGGAAAATCCTTACATATTTTTTTTTTTTTAATCCAAATTTAAGCTTGTTTAAATGGAGCTGGAACATCTTGGAAAGTTACTCGGGTACCTGCCGGCTGGATAGAAAAAGACTGATCAGAAATTATTTTTAATGTATTTTCTATAACAAAAGCTCAAATTTTCGACAGAATCCTCTATATAGAATATGCTATCCAGTCTTTTATATGAAAATGTCTATTCCACTGCCAGGTTTTGGCATCTCTGTAAAAAAACAAAACAAATTGCAGATAGGTATAGAGCAGTGTTTCTCAACCTTGACAATTTTAAGGCATGTGGACTTCAACTCCCAGAATTCCACAGCCAGCAAAGCTGGCTGTGGAATTCTGGGAGTTGAAGTCCACATGCCTTAAAATTGTCAAGGTTGAGAAACACTGGTATAGAGGTTGGAGAGATAGGCTTGTAAAACAAAATGTGCAAAAGTGACCAGGTGGTTTTGTCCATCTCTAATTGGCCTTTCCAAGTACAGACCATAAGCAATTGTGTACAATGCTTTCCCCTCCGCCCCCCCCCCCACCATCTGTGCCCTAAAATATTGGGCTTCCATGATTTTGGCGATCGACTATTACGGGAATTGGAGAGGAAGATAACAGGAAATTACACAATTGAAGCAAACAGGTGTAGACAGAAGACCAGAGATTTCTTCTAGTGCAGTGGTTCTCAACCTTTTTAATGCCACGACCCCAACCGGTCATAAGTCGAGGACTAAACCGGTCGTAAGTCGAGCACTAAACCAGTCGTAAGTCGAGGACTAAACCGGTTGTAAGTCGAGGACTACCCAACCGGTCGTAAGTCGAGGACTTTCCCTTCCCGGGAGCGCCGCACATGCGTGGTTCCGCCCCCTGCGCCGGCCGAGGTCTAGCTGGCAAGCGGCAGAGACGGAGCAGGCCAACCACCAGCTGGCCCAGCTCAAGGGAGGTAAGGCACCTGCCGGAAAGGGGGAAAAAAATGGCAGACAGCCTTGCTTGGCGACCCCCGTGAAATGGTCGATCGACCCCAAATGGGGTCCCGACCCATAGGTTGAGAACCGCTGTTCTAGTGACTGATCCAGTCTATTTGGAGCTATTAGAAAATTTACGGTAGGATAGCAGGAATGGTCTGACAATACAGTAACTGCCTATGACTATCAGCTACCTATGATTATCAGACCAATAGTAGAAAGTAATTAATTCATTGACAACAAAAATGATTACAATTGCACACTTTGGGGCCATTTGGGATCTAATTGCCCATCTGCTTTTGGATTGCTTTTTTCTGCTAAATAGGCTAGCCTGGTAATGATAATGAAGGGGTTCATACTATAATGAATTTTGGAGAAATAGTTTGCTATTTTATAACAATACAGAGTTTAAAAAGGTTGTCAGGGGCAGGTAACAAAGTTTCCTATTGGTGAGGAAAAAAATTGAAGGGTAATTTGAGGAGATCTTATTTCTGCTTTGTGTTATATGTGAATTTTCAAAATTTGTCATGGCAGATAATCAAAACGATATACCAATTTGACTTGGAATGAATGAACTGAAGTTCGTTTTCAATAAGTTGATATCAAAGAATGCAGCAGCTGATTGAGTCAAAATTGGGCACATTTGCAGTGATTGCAAATTATGTGTTAGCATTTTGACATTTCCACTGAATAACTGGTATACTGTCTTCATTTTATTTCTGGAAATATAAGAAACCTTATGTTATTCTTTATTAACATCAGTTCTTTCTGGGTTTTAATTTTCCCAATAGCTCTTTATAATTCTAGACTACCTATTTGTCTTCTTTGATGATCTGACTTTTCCATATTCTACTCTACGGGTTTGATTTTTGTTTTTGTTTTCTGATCTTGAGTAAACTTTGAATAACATAAGTTAGCCATAGAGCTTCAGTTTAAAAAAGATGAAATCTGGAGAGCAAATTAATGTTCATATCTAACCCATATGTTTTTAAAAAACGTTTTTAGGAACTTAAGTTGAAAAATTACAAAATGTAATCCTGTCTGAAATTTTAGACAAGTTAAAGGTTGAGATTTTAGACAAGCAAGGGTTAACCATTCCATTAACCACATCACCCATACTGCAATGCTCAAAAACAGAAGCGTGGTTTCCAAAGTCTTCTACAGCTATCAGTATCCTAGAAACCCTGCCAGGAGCCTTTGTTGAGATGTAATCAAGCAGCCGCACCTCTAAATACCTCCATGACCACAACCCATAATGTATGGGACAGTTCCCAATATTCCACATAGATTGAAAAGAAATGAAGGGAAGGGAAGAAAGCCTGGTTTTTAAGTGTCCTGTTGCTATTGCTGCACTGCTGAATATGTCTGCTACGCTTCTGCTACAATTTGTTCAGGCAGTCTGTTTTGAGACAAAAAGGTCAAATGGATGGTTTATGGTTAAAACTATTGCATATAATACATATTTCTATTTATATCATAGGGTATATACACCATAGCATTAACACACATTTCTCAAAGCATTGTTTGCACAAACAATTCTATGTCAATCAGCCATTGTAACCGCCCAGAAAAGCTGGTAATTAGTTTAGTAAGAAAGCTTACTTTTTAAACAGTTTCTGAACATTTTATTGCTAAGCCAAAAACAGGTTTTGCTGCATTTCCTTTCCCTAGCTCCTCTATTTCTGCTTTAAAAGAGTATAGGTGTGTTTTTCTTTTTTTTTAAAAAAAAAATGGAGCTCTCAAGCTGAAATTTTACAAAGTTAATGTCCTCTAAAATCCTGTTTCCATCCCATTCTGCCAAAGAACGCCTTCCATTATAGCTTCTCATCACATCTTCTTTTCAAACCATCTCTGACTGGTTTAAGCTGAATCTTGTCTTCAAATCTTGGGTCATAAGTTACATGTTGGCTGTGACTGAATGTTGAGATGTATCGTTCTGAGCTCTTGTCACATATTCTTGTTTTTTCTTACCTCAGAGAAAATTAAAAATAATTTTAAAAATATCTTGGTCCACAAATTAGAATCAAGTCTTTTCAACCTTAAATCTCACATCTGAATGGAAACTTGGCTAGTGGAATTTGCGTTCAAACATATGTTAATGATCAACATCTGAACAAAAATGCAATCTTCATTGAGCTCAGAGGTGGTTAGTCCCATCCAGCTTATTCATTAAAGGAACCCTTTATTCTATCATTATCCCATATTTTTTTTCAAGCAGCACAATGTCCCTTCTTGGATCCTCCTCCCATTTTATCTTTACAACAACCTGACAAGGTAAATTGGGCTGGTCACTCTCAGCACGAGAATTTAGCCAGTGAATGGATGGAAGATTTGGACCCAGATCTCCATGTTCTTAGTCCTAAACCTTAACCATCATACTAAACTGACTAGGGAAGAAACATATGAGTGCCATTTCATTCTGCCTGCAACTATACTTTGTGAGTGCTCCATTGTCACACAAACTATGCCTTGGCTTGTTACACTGAGGGCTCCATCTACGTACTTCATGAAAAAGGTTTTTTCCCCCTGCTTGTCTGGAATGTTCCCTCTCTGTTCAGGGCATCAGGAAGTGAAATGAAACGAGGAAGCTCACATCATCTCTGCATCAAATATCGAGCACTGGCAGCAGAGTTATTGATTCAGAGCAAAGCCTCACTCTCTCCCCCTCTCTCCCCGACTAAGCAGTTACGCCTTTCTGGTTCGTTGCATTTAATCGGATTCCTACAGCTGCAGAGCAGAGGCAGAGAATTAGATTTTTTTTTTAAAGTCTGCCCCTTAATAATGTTTACTTCAAAATCCAACTCCGTCTCTCCTTCCCCCTCCATGGATCCGACAGATCTGGATGCCTTGGATATCCGCACCAAAGTGCAGCTGTATGGAGTGCTCTGGAAGAGACCGTTTGGGAGACCGTCAGCCAAGTGGTCCAGGAGGTAAGGCAGAAGGTGCCTGGGTAGAACTGCAGAGGCAAAAAGGGAGGAGAGAAGAGAAGGTGATTATGGAGCTCATAATGGGAAGGAAAAGCCAGAAAATCTGGGATAGCAATCAGGCTGGGGTTCTGGATAGGCAGGATCTTAAAATGCCCAGACAGATGAGTTCCAGAATAGAAGAGTACAGTGAAGAAATGGGGCTGTATTAATGTGTAGGATCCAAATCAGCCTCATCATCACCATCATCATTATTCTGCAACTTTATGGAATCTATTAATTAACAATCTGGGCAATCACAGTTTCTGTGTTGTGGTCCATTTTGTAGGTTGGCAAAGATTCTCTGCCTGCAATTCTCTGTACTCTTCAAAGAAGACACATAAGTGACCTGATGTTAGGCCAACTGTATGTAAGAGACAGTGACAACTTATGTAGCATTTCCATTTGGATTCCACGCTTTTTTTTACAGAATGTAGGCTAAGTTGAGATCACCCACTAGGAAAAGTTTAGCCATGCAGGGAAGGCTTTCTTTGCTTGTTTGCTTGTTTGCTTGCTTGCTGCTTGTTGTGTGAACTTAATTCCAAAGTGCTTTTTTGAGAATGCTAGCTGCCTGATCTAAAGACGTGACACAGTGCCAATACAACAGGGAGGAGCCAAACTGTTTATGATATCACATGCTATCACTATCTAATCCTACGCACATATTTATCTTGTGCTCATTCTCAGAATTACTGCACAATTCTGTTTCTCAGTCACAAAATATTACGAGTTAAGTGCTGAGAAGAGAATGCCATCCCCATAATAAATATCCCATTCCTGAACATAGTTTTGGATTAGTAGCAATGCATGTATTCAGGAGTAACTTATTCTACTGCCTGATTTCAGAAACATTTAACATACAAGATTTCTTTTTAATCTTCCTGCTACTCTGACCAGTCCTTCTAGAAAAATCTGTCTCTGTGATTCTTCATCTTAAATTCCACATGTATTTATACTTGTAGTTACTATATAGCCCAACTCAACATGAAAGCACAGTGAATAAATATAAAAAGAAACTTGGATCAAGGGTTCCTGTGGAGGAAATGCTACTTGCAGGGTTCTTCCATTGAAGCAAAAATAGGAGATAATTTTTTGCTGATCCTCCCTCTGTTTCTTCTTTTGCCTCATCATTCCAGCACAGCATAAAGGAACTGCAGAGAGGAGAACATTGTTCAGTAATTTCCCTTTTCTCTCTCCTGTGAAGAACCTTTAAAATGCTATTCCTTGAATTCATCTGTTCAAAAAATGAAATTCTGGATCAATTATTTTATTAAGTATATGTGTTTTATTGCTAATTTGCCCGAGCAAAAGAAGACGAGGTGGGGAAGAGGTACAGCTCAACATGGACTTCTACTCTCAACGTGTACCTGTGAACTTATGGAAAAGATATTTCAGGTTATGTACATAGAAATTAGTGGGCCTTCTGCAGCTAAATAGAGGCAGAATCCTTCTGAAGCAGAGGAGGTGTTGACCTGAAAGTTACAAGACTTAGCAAACTGTCAAGAGCCAAACAACTGATTCCTGAATAAATAAGGATAGTGGTGGCTTTTAAAAATGCTTTTCAACCACAGTATGAAGGCATTGTATAGCATAGCATCTCCGCCCACAGACTCCATATGCCTAAAGCACAGTAAAAATGCAAGTCATAAAACAATTGCAAGGTGAGCAGGTGGCCAAAAAGGGCCATTAGCAGATGTCATCTCTTTAGAGAACTAAATATTCTCTGACACTCCTGAGCTGGAGTCCCTCTTCTTAGAGAACTAAATGTCGTATAAAGAAAGCAGGACCTGAGCTACCTACTTCCATCAAGCTGGCCCAAATAGAGATGTTGAAATATTCTCTTCAATTCCAGACACACTTTTGTGGAAACTAAGATCCAAGTACCATAGCAGAGAAAATTCTCATTCTCTGTTGTTAGCCTATGAAGAATAGAAAGGACTTTTAAAAAGAGACCTCTGGTATCATGTGAAGACAATATATACTGCTCAAAAAAATAAAGGGAACATTTTACCATGGAATTGAAGGGGTTTGCGTTCCCTTTATTTTTGTGAGCAGTATATTTTAAAAAATTGCCTGGAATCTCTATTTTAGTTGTGCTTTCAGCTAATAAATGGATATAGACGTGAAATGTAACCAATTGTACTTACGGTACACATAATTATTCGCTCAAGAACAGTGTGTAGGAAAGGATTACTGTCATGGGATGTATGGTTATTGGTTCTTTCCTTTTGTTTCACAAATTTACAACAGTGTTAAGTGTTGCTAATTTTCATGAGAAGAGACAATGGTCAAGATATTTCACTTTTGCAAGCAAATGTATTATTTGCACCGGGATAATGTGAAGGATAGCAAGCCTCATCAAGGTGCATAGCAAGCACAGGGCAGTCTATTATGAATCCAGACAAGGATAGATACAAGTCCTCTGCTCTCCTCAGCAGAAAACCCATCTGAATGTTGCTTCCATCCTGGCTACTGGCTTCAGTAAAAGCCTCCGTCTTAGGCACACTTAGATGGCAAACCTTTTATTAGGTCTTATGCTGCTCCTTCAATGGGACACACTGAATTGGCATCAAATTCATGTAATAGAAACAAACCCCATTGCCATGCCATTTATTTTGGGGAGGGAAACCTTAGATACATGTAGAGTGATTTCAATTTAGATGGCGGTAAATATGAAAGGGAGCCTTAAATATTTTGTATAAATGTGATTTTGATTTAACTTTCTCCCCCACAAAAGCCATACTGCAGATAATGAGGAGCAAAATATTAAAACTCCCTATCCCTAATAATCTCCAGAATGGAGGAATGTATGGAAAAATTTTAGGGCAAAGATGCCCTAATTAACTGTTTTAATCAAAGAAAAAACTATATATGTCCAGTTTTGTTTCTGCTAGGAAACCACTTCTAGATTTCTGTGTCCAAGGCAAGAAAAAAATGAAATTCTGATTTTGGGATTTGCTGATCAATTAGGTTTATTGTTATAAAAATGACTAATATATATTAGCTGAAAAAAAGATGAAGCTTTTGACCTGCATTTTTATTCTATTGCACTGAAAAAAGTTGGAAGTTAATTTTTTTTTCTTTTCCCTCTTACCCCACACTTCTTTTTTCCTTCTTTCCATTCCCCATTTCCCTATTATCTTCACTTTCATTTGTCATTTATAGTATGATACTTTTAATAAAATTATATTTTAAAAAATCCTCCTACCCCACATGTCATTGTTTTTGTCTAGATGTTCCCCCTACCACCATTCTTTTTAACTTGCCACACTAAAATTTATTTTGTAATGAATTTCCATGTAATCCCTAGGGAAGTGGATGGTTCAAAATGTGATAGATAGATAGATAGATAGATAGATAGATAGATAGATAGATAGATAGATAGATAGATAGATAGATAGATAGATAGATAGATAGATAGATAGATAGATAGATAATTTGATTTTCATTGTCTACTAGCTCCCAGGAACTGGAAAATAAACCATATGTAACTACTAGATCGAGGCATTTAGAGAAAAAAGTTTGCATTTAAGCATTGAATTGACCTTTATGAAACTGCTGAAACCTTGTTGAAACTCAGTGGAAAAATCAGATCTCCCAATGTACAAAATGACTAATACATACTACATAAAATTTAAGAATATGATTCAGTTTTAAAATATGAAAAATAAATTACCACAGAATTGTCATTAAAAGAACAATAGGAATCTTTTTCACACTGAATTAAACTACTGGCTTATTTAGTTAATATGGTTAGAAGTAGGCAACCTGATACATTCCTGAGGCTTTGGATTTCAATTCTATTTGCCCCAATGAACATAGGCAATGGCAAGAGATTATGAGATTTGTAACCCAAAACATCTGGAAGACACCTGTTACCTGTCTTCGGCCCACCCACTTTCCTATCCAACTCTGCAGAAACTCTAACTGGAATGTGTTCTCCTCCACAGGAGTCTTCAAACTTGGCCCTTTTATGACTGGCTGAGGAATTCTGGGACCTGAAGTCTACAAGTCATAAAAGGGCCAAGTTTGAAGACCCCTGTCCTACAGAGATATTATCCTTTTTTCTAAAAATAGGCACATTCTTTTCTCAGGTCCTCTTAAGAATAATGCATCTAGACTAATTTAAACTCCAGATAATGTGTTATAGATTTCAACACCTATAACTCCCAGTCAGTATTGTTTTTATCCAAGGATTGAAAACCTTTGGTTAACAGAAATCATACCACTGAAATTTCACAGCAACTTGCTAATTTTGGCTGCATGGCTTCTTACTGGTATCCTATGGTAAACTAAAGAATATAGTGCAAAGGTCACTATACTGTACATCTAAAACAGGAAAATAAAACCCAGGAGCCCCTAAAAATTCCACCCCAAATTTCTCCAAAACTTCTTCACTCACCTACCCGACGTTCTATTATTATCAGCTTATTTTCCTTTTGACCATAATACTAGAGCATGGCAGCAATGCAGTCATTTATGGACCACCAGATTAGCCAAGAAGCATTTGGACCATTCTTTTTATTGATCTCTTTAGTATTTGAGGAAAATTAATCAAACTTAAATATATATATTTAAGAAATCTTCCTTATCCACTTTGTTCAAAGTTTAGGAAAACTTCAAAATATTAAAAATCATATCCTTTAAAAAAATATCAGCATTATAAGTCAATAAAAAGAAGTTTCTGCCTTTTTTAAGGAATACAAGTGACATTCTAAGCTATATTGATGAAGGCTCTTAGAGAAAGAGCTGATTCTGATGTGACAGAATGCAGAATAACAGAGTTGAAGGGACCTTGGAGGTCCTCTAGTCCAACCTCTGCTCAAGCAGGAAACACTATACCCATGGTGGCGTGCGTGGCACAGATGGCACGCAGAACCCTCTCTGTGGGCACGCCTGCCGTCGCACCAGTCCTAGGCTTCAGCTGAGTTTTATAAACCCTTTTCGCTTTAGGCCTCTGCCACCTT